ACCGACGCTGTAATTATATATAAAGGTTTGGGACTTCGGTCGCAAAAATTAAAGGTTTGAGTGTAATCTAAAACAAAATGAAAGGTTTGGGACCAGCGTTGCAATTTTTTAGAGTTAAAATTACTGTTGAAACTTTGACTGACAATTTTATTGACGGAATTAGAGGCTTGAGATCGACGCTGCAACTACATATAAAAGTTTGGGACTTAGGCCCAAAAATAAAAGGTTTGGGTGTAATCTGCAATAAGATGAAAGGTTTGGGACCACGGTCACAATTTTCCCTATTTTTAATTAGAATCTATTTTTTATCTTACTTAGGCTCCGTTTGTGAGCCATTCTTTTTTCAAATAATACATTTTTTCTTTCACGTCAAGTGGGGTCCATTGCTGGAAAGAGACACAAAAAAGGTGTGATTTGACACAAATAATGTATTTTTTTTTTGTAGAAAAATGATTACCAAACGGAGGCTTAATACACATCCATCCCATAAGTATAGATTTGTTTTCATTTTTCGTTTATTCCAAGTTATAAATTACTTTTCTTATTGAAAATATAGATGATTCTTTAGTTTTTTAATATGTCATTATTTAGGCCCTGTTTGATTCACGCTCACATTTTTTACTCTTTCTTCATTTCAACCATACATTAGGCCAAATAAAATAACATTACATACAAATCTAAAACTTTTTATTACTATTCAGCCACATGTTCTTTTTATCAATCACTATTTCAGAATTCATTTTTTATACAAAATATGTGTCAAACATAAGTTTAATTTATTATCAACAAATATAATTTACTCTTATTTACCATTCTTTAATATAGAGATATATTAGGAAAAATGTAAGATAAATTTATATTTTATTTCCCATATGAAAATAGGAACAATCATAGTTTTACACTCGGAGGGAATACTGGTTTTGAATCATTTGCTTGTTGCCTTCAATTCGCACTCTTTCCATTTCGTTTATTACGTTGAGCCCCAATCTTGAGGGCCTCCCACCGCCCCGTCCTTAAAGCATTGTGGAGGAGGTAAATAGCGGGATGCGCCTCAACATGTCAGGATGTAAGAGTTGAAATATTGGGGCCCACAAAAAGTCCAATTTCATACCTTGTAAGAGGTAGGAATCGAACCCTCATATTGCGGCTGTTAGCTCAATTGAGACTAGCTCACTCCTGTCATTTGCATCACTGATCTATGCCCCGGGGGCACTTCCCATTTAGTTCATCACTTTATCTTTGAGATGTCAACCTTCAAAAAATCTACCGTGAATTTCAACAGCTCTATTCATACATAATCATATATGTCTTTGCAAGTAAGATTCCGAGTCTCTAAGGGACCAAGAATTGTGGTACACATCCACAACTTACATTGAACTCCAATTTAATTTAGTTAAAAATTATTTTATAGTAAATTTTGATAAAAGTTGTGAATCTCATTTAATATGTGATTGAAAATAAATTTGACAAAAAATAAATTCTAAAAATATGGGATTCAACCGTGGCTGAGAAACGTAGATATTATACATTTTATGTTAATTTAGACAATTCGTCAATCATTTTTTGGGATAACTATAACATTCATACAAGTGTTACTAAAATTATTTTTTTCTTTACAAGTATTAATACTTTTCGTTTGCCCCTGTTTGGCCTTTTATTTTATAAATTTTTAAATTTATTTACAATTGCATATTTTATAAAATTCACAACATTTAAGTCATTAATTTTATTAATTCTTTTAAAAATCTATTAAATTTTTTATTTTTAGTTGAACCGAACTTGAGCTTTGTATATATTTGCCACAAGTGATAGGCACAAGGAAAAATTGCTTATATAAGGAGTTCATTTTGCAAATAAATAATGCATTTTAAATTTCATTAAGAAAATTTAAAGAAAATAATATTTTACTCAGAAAATATATAGGATGTTAATACGTCAACCTACGTGTTATTATAGGATAGATTCGAAACAAAATAATATTTTACTCAGAAAAAACTTTTCAAAATGTGTCAACACTAATCTCATAATTTCACCTTTAACGATGTGTTTGGGACACATTATTTTAAAATTATTTTAAAAAAATGTATTATTGAATAGTAGATTGATGGAGAATGTGTGATTAAAAATGAAGGAAAAGTTATTGATGTGATGGAAAATATTATTTTATTGGAGAATGTATGGTTGAAAATGAATAGATAAATGAGAATGAAAAAAATAATGTGTACCAAACAGGGCTTAACTATCATTTTCGTTGAAGGAACTCTTCAAAAGGTGTCAACATTTTCGATGAAGGAACTTTCTCTCTCTGGAAATATGTCGACATTTCACTCTCTCTCGACGATACATAAAGATTCGTGTTGTTTGAGAGCTAGAGTATAACTGAATAGAAGGCTCATAAAAAGAAGACGATTCACTTCTTGATTCCGGCCCATGTCATTCTTTGAGGTTTCAGTTTTGTTAATACTAATCTTAAGTACTCATTTTTTATTTTTTATTTTTTATTTTTGGCCACTCTTTCTCTAGAAGTTACGATTTGATGCCTTCTTAATTGGATTATTTTGTGGAATTACTGTACAGAATCTGTTTCCATGGCTTTGGTTTGGGGAAATCAGAGAACAAGTCGGGGTTTATTCAGGTGAAATTAATTACAAGAGCCCTTTTGATGATCTATAATTATGGAAAAGGGAAAAAAGATCGAATTCTTAATAGTGGGTTTTGCTTGATTTGGCTTACTATTTGCAGAGAATTTTACATTTATTTACCAGAAGTATTTATGTAAAGTAATAGTTTCGTTGTATGGTGTCCAAATTCCAATCGATAAATTGCACACTATCAAATTGTGCTGGTATTTTTGGGTGAACGAAGCGTTGTGATACTGTGAGAGTTTATTTTTGTTAATGCACGATTGATTGTTCTATTGCGTGTTTCGAACTTTGCATTTGCAAGAAAAGTTTCATGTTGCTTGATTGTATCATTTTTTTTTGTCAATTGCATACCCATTTTTGTAATCAGAATCAAGATCCTTTATTTGGTTCAAAAAAGATTCTTTTGTAATCAGATTCAAGATCCTTTATTTTTACCAATCAAGAATATCTCAAGGGAATTCTATCTTCTAATCTCATGAAAAATAATTTGCCTCTTCAAAAGTTCTTTTTCTTGCATTACTATGAGGAAAAGTATACTTGTTTGCCAGTATAGTTTAGAGAAACTAAAAATTGTTGCTGTGTTTTTGCTATCTAATCGGAGGACTCAGCTTTTGTGGTTTTTCTGATTTCTGTTTAATTCACAGAAATGAGCTGCGTTTCTTGTATTCTTTCGTAATCTACAGGAATCTTGAATTTTTTTCTGCCTTTAGTGGAAAAAATAGTCTGTTTAGTGCACATTTTCTTGAATTATCCTTCAAGCAATCAGCAAATTTAGAAGCTCTAATTTTCTGGAATTTGCTTTGTTTCCGAGTTTACAGACTCCTTTCTTCAGAATCTTTCTCAATCCATGTCAAACTCCACCTGCGGTGGTGTTGATGAAGATTCTAAGGGATGTCGCAATGACTCCTTTGCTCTCATCCTTAAAATGGTGGCAATTGCTGTCATTCTCATTGCTGGAGTGTGTGGTGTTGCCATTCCATTGGTTGGCAAGAAGCGCCGGTTCCTCCAAACAGACTCCAACCTCTTTGTTTCTGCAAAAGCCTTTGCTGCTGGTGTCATTCTTGCCACTGGCTTTGTCCACATGTTACCGGATGCCACGTCTGCACTGACGAATTCTTGTCTCCCTAAATTGCCATGGTCAAAATTTCCATTTTCCGGGTTCATTGCAATGATTGCCTCATTGGCTACATTGCTGGTTGATTTTCTGGGGACTCAGTACTATGAGAGGAAACAGGAGAATGAGAGTCCTGGTGTTGAGTTTGATTCATCGGACACGGTGTCCGAATTAGGGATTGTTCCAGTAGAGAAAAAGAGGGGGAGTGCAAAGGTGTTTGGGGAAGAGGAAGGGGGTGCAATGCATATTGTGGGGATGCATGCACATGCAGCACACCATAGACACAGCCACCTACAAGAAGAGGGGGCATGTGAAGGGCGCGTAAAGGAACATTCAGACGGTCATTCACATTCACATGCGATTGGTGGTTGGGATGAGGAAGGTGGTCTCAGGCACATTGTTGTTTCACAGGTAAAATATATTCCTCCTTTTTGTGCACTTTATCATGTCCTAGATATAATCTTGGTAACATTTGTCGACATTTGAGTTGGATCTTTACGTAGCTCTGTCTTAGTAATAAATTAACACATTCTGTTATTATAAAATCAAGGCTCGATTCAGTTGGAAAGGGATTGCTCTTGTGGGAGACCATTCAAATGGTTGAATTTTATGACTTCTTTTTTATCTCCTCAATTGAACCTAAAGGACACTTTGATATTTGAACTTTGGCTTCTATTTTCACTTCCTTTTCAGCACGTATTCCCCTGTTGACCTGGACATGTAATCTTCAGGTAAGAATCTAGAGTTCTCATTTTCAGAGATTTACATCAGCGCATCCCTTGTTTGAAAAGAATTTATGCTAATATTCATACCAATAGTGTCCAAGTATTCATATGGTGAAGAAACCATATATTTTTCATCATATTGAAACTGGACATGTATAGAGGCCAAATATACATGAACACGAGGATCTCGCGCACACATTTTTACGTAGTTACAAGAAATCATGATTAACTTTCTGAGCTCTTCAATGCCTTTCTTGCTGGAAGCCAAGATGGAATGAAGTATTAACAATGGGAGTCCTTGATTTGCAAGTACTACAAGTAGGGGAAAAGAATGCTGGGCAAAAAGAGCAGGTAAACTGATGGATGTCGAAGTGTCAAAAAAAATTGACCTTGATGATATGCCAGCCCTACTTTAGACTGTGAATGTTAAGCTCTCCTACCACTTGTTGCACGGAAGCCTTGAAATTAGGTTTTCAAGCAAAATATATAATAACGTACACCAGGAAAAAGTGGACATACTAAACACTCGTGCACAAGAATGATGCGATTCAGTCCAATAGATTCGAAGATGTGGAGAAACCAAAATTCGTATAGGATCTGATTGCATCATCTCTTCCAGTGCATTTAGTGATTGACTGAACAGAGTAGCAAAATAAGCTTCATATAGCCAGCTAGAAGTTTGTTAGGAATAGGTCTTTTAATTAGATTGTTTATTTGTTTGATTGTTTGTCATTTTCTGTTCCAAATATCGTGTTTTATTCCCTATTTAGGTCATGGTGTTGCTTAATGCTATCTCCGCGGGGGGGGGGGGGGGGGGTACCCCATTTTCTTCCACGTTATTATTAGAGTAATGGACTTGTAACGTCTATTCTTCTTCCTTACAGGTTCTGGAACTCGGAATAGTATCACACTCCGTGATCATCGGACTCTCTCTAGGAGTCTCCCACAATCCATGTACAATAAAACCCTTGATTGGGGCATTATCATTCCATCAGTTCTTTGAAGGGTTTGCTTTAGGAGGATGCATTTCACAGGCGAAATTTACGAGCCTTCGTGCAACCATAATGGCATGTTTTTTTGCCGTAACGACCCCATTGGGAATAGCTGTTGGAACTGGCATTTCTTCGATTTACAATCCTAATAGCTCGAGAGCTCTGGTAATAGAGGGCATCTTTGATTCAATATCTGCAGGAATTCTGGTGTACATGGCTCTTGTGGATTTGATTGCAGCTGATTTCCTGAGCAAAAGAATGAGCTGCAACTTGAAGCTCCAAATAGTGTCTTATTTTGCACTCTTCATCGGGGCGGGACTGATGTCTTCTCTGGCCTTGTGGGCTTGATTAGTCCCGTTTAGATGTATCAAAATGTCATTTCTTTTTGCTGTTAGGGTCCGTTTGATTGCAAGAATGGAATTTGGGTGGAAAAAAAATGAATTCTATGGAATTGAATTGTCTAAATCTTGTTTTACTAAGAATTGTCAATTAATTGTGTTTGATTGATATAATTTTTCATCTGGAATGGGTCATGGGTGTTCGTGTTCTGCTTGAGAATATATATATTTTGATCATAACAAGTAAAATTACTTCGGACATCTCCGAGTAACGAATATCAAAAGATGTATCAATAATCAATCGATAAAGTTTCAAACTGAAACAAAATATGATGATATAAAGTAAACATTAACTTTTATTCTCATACCGGAGGACGAATGTGTGTGTTAGTTAATCGAGTTTTCAATGTTATGAGGACAGACAAAATTGACTAGGATCATTTGTATTTTACATGCGAGCAAGCCATAGTAATACAAAGTTCGACAAACAATGACATCACCTAGATAAATACTAGGTGCTTGTTTGAGAGGGATTTTTGGGGGAATAATTGATTTTGAATAGTGATATGATGAGAAATGTGTGGTTGAAAAAGAAGAAAAAATTATTGATGTGATGAAAGATATTATTTTATTGAAAAATATGTGGTTAAAAATGAGAATTGATTTACTGTAGAAAATGAGAATCTGTACCAAACAGACCCTTATTAAACTTCATTTAGTGTCCATTTATATAGTTGGTCCAGGAGCTGATGCAATATTACATACATAATGAAATNACAAGCCTTTATGTTAAAGTAAGAGCTGTTGGAAAATCCCGATCTTCTTGGTGTGCATAGTAAAAACTACACCCTACCTTTTGCGTCATATGATTTGTAGATCCTGAGATTAACATATGATTACCAGTTATAATTTCTCGTACCAAAACTGCCCTACCATCACTTCTAATTCACCAAAATGCCTCGCGCACTCTTTCACAGTCACCTTCCAGTCACCACCTCCGACCACCATCCCACAGCCACCGACAACCACCAGTACTCCAAGTCGGTGAAGACCAAAAAGCCCCCAACTTTATCACTCTCACCGCACACTCCCCTGCCTATTTTCGTCATTTCGGCCATCTGCCTCCTCATAGGTGTCGCCGGAGTTATATTCTTTTTCCTCGCGGTCCTCCGCCCCAGACCCACCCCCGTCTTCCGCTGCGGGCGCATCGAGGACACCTTTCGTGCATTCTACTCAGGCCAACTTGGTGGCGCAACCGCCGGAGACTCCGGGGTCCCTGACCGGCCAAAAGTTCATGGATTTGTCGGAATCCAAACCGGGTTCTCCTCCGGAGATCGCCGCAAGGCTTTGAGGAGTACTTGGTTCCCCTCTGATCCCGAGAATCTTCTCAGGTAACATTCATTAATTAAATGTCTGAAAATGCTTTCTTTTTCCATCCGGGATTGTTGTTGTGTTGTATGACTTGAATTCATAGCTCAAGATAGTATCAATTAGTAGCAGCAATGTAAATACTCAATGAAAATGATGCGTGACCATGAATGTGAAATTCACAATTAAACTCTAGGACGAGCATGTTTGGCTATGCTTTAGAGTAGAAAAAATGTCTTGTAAGTAAAAAATAACTTTGTAAATTACAATTGACGAAATAATTAACTTGAAAATAAGTTTCCCCTCAGTTTTAAGTAAAGCCAAACGTGATGAAAAATCTTGTTTTGGTGGATGAAGTCTAATGAGAAACTTGAGAAGCTTGATAGTGTTTATTTATAGGAAAATTCACCTTATGTAAAATAAGAAATGGATTTGGGATATAGTGAGTTGGGGAGATCTGAAGGAAGTTCCTTGTCCTGAAAATAATTTGTGATAATAGACAATTGAGCACAAATTTCATGAGTTATACCCAGAAATTTCTAAATTTCCATTGCCAATAGTAAATTGCAGTCCAAACTGTGATATGAGACTCAGTTCTATTCTCTGATGTTCTATGATTAGAACCAGAATCAATTTGAGATAATTAAATTTCCAAGTCCAAAGTCAAATGGTTTTAAGCCCTTCATTTATCTTCCAAGAACGCTGACAATGTTTTCTTGTTATGTTTCTAATTTTTATAGGTTGGAGCAGGCTACTGGTCTGGCCTTTAGATTTGTAATTGGACGGTCTAAAGATGCGAAGAAGATGGAAAATCTTGAGAAAGAAATTGAGAAGTACAAGGATTTTATGATTATAGATGTTGAGGAAGAATACTCAAAACTTCCATACAAGACGTAAGATCAAGCTTCCGCATATATATATATATTTTTTCGGTTAATTGATATTTGGATTGCTGGCACTTATGTAATGACACTAATTTCTTAAATGCAGGTTGGCATTTTTTAAAGCTGCCTTTGAGCTGTTTGAAGCAGATTATTATGTTAAAGCTGATGATGACATTTATTTGCGCCCTGGTGAAATATTTCTACACTTTATCCTTTGCCTGGAATTTGGTGTCTTTGTGCTTCAATGCTAACATATTGTTATTTCAGATCGACTAGCAACTCTTCTGGCAAAAGAGAGAACCGATCCAAGGACATACATTGGCTGTATGAAGAAAGGACCAGTAATTACTGACCCAAAAATGAAGTGGTAAATATTTCTGCAAGTTTCCATTTCTGTGACTAGCTCTCTACTAGTACTGGACATAAAAATTGTGGATTATCTTGACTACAATTTACCTAAAGTCATCACACAAAAATAAAATTTCAGGTATGAGAAATCTGGACATCTAATCGGAAATGAATACTTCTTACATGCTTATGGTCCTATCTATGTTCTTTCTGCAGAGGTGGTGTCATCACTGGCTATTGCTAGGAACAACAGGTTTGTCTATTTATTTATTCTATGCTCTGTATATGCTTGCATTCATTTTTCTTTCACCTATAGTTCTTCTGTGGTAAAAATCAACTTAACAATTCCTTATTTCCGCTAAGGATTAAGCCCTAATCTCTGTAAGAAGAGCAATTTTAAGCAAAACAGTACAGAAATTGTTGGTTATCACAATATTGGAGTCTGGAGAAGTGTACAAAGCTTTCCCCACGTTCTCTCCCTGTGTCGGAGAAAAAAGGCCACTTACAAGTACTTTATATATCGTTGGACAATTTGGTTTTTGCCATTAGAATCCAGTTTCTCCATCCTGCTGATTTGTCATCTCAGCCCATTCCATAATCCATTGTTCACATAGGCAGTGATTATACTAGCGTCGTTTGCCAAGTCCACTTGCTCTCAAGTAACTCGTGCAGCTTCCATTACTGAGTAGGGGCGCTGTAACTCAATGATGGATTGTGGCTACTTGTAGACTGGAGGCTGTCTATTATTGTAACCGATAGATATATCTAAATTTTGTTGCTAAATGAACACTAATGTGGAGTTTTAGTAGACAAATGTCTCAATTCTCTTTAATCGAACTATTTTATATTATGCTTTCAAGTAATCTAGAATATAATAATCCAACCCTTCTTTTGAGGTTGTGTTCTCAACTACCTAGTTGAGCTATTCACAAAAACTGCTTTGCTGTTCAAGCATGTATCTATAGGTTTAAACAGGATCTGCACAGCCTCTTTTTGAGGTGGCCCATGCTGCACCCTTTTTAGGCAGTCTGGGTCCAGCCTATGGCCTTATAAATTTTTTTGTTTGCATGTGTTTATTTCTTTTTTTAAGAAGATATAGGTCAGCCACATAGGCTGCGGGTCCTTACATGAGCCCAACACATTTTGGAACCCCTACAAGTATCACAATGAAATTTTGGAAGCTATATATGTTCTCTCAGTTGTTGACTCTCTTATAAACTAAAAGGAATAAACTTATTGGCTCTTTTTCCCATTGTTATTTTCTATTTGAGTCACCATCTTCAGTTTCTGCTGTTCTCTTCATGACATTTAGAACTTTTGTTCGACATATATTTTGCTCTTATAGATAATGTGGTGATGGAATGTACTTTTTTTTCCATATTAATCATTCGAATCTGTAAGTGATGGAATTTCTCCACCGAACTAAATTATCAGAATCTGTCTGGTCTTGTAAAATGTAATGTGACTCCACGTGTAAGATCTTTCTACATGTCGGGATGGAGGGGTTGGGAAGAGGAAGAGAGGTGCTTCATATTTGTTATGACTTATGCCACCAGAGCATGTTTGCCTAAGTGTAAAAGTTAACCTTTTTTTAAAGTACGGAGTCTTTCTTTTGCTTGAGTTAAAGAAATTTACTTTCGCTAAGCTTGGCTAAACACACTACTGGTGTGCTATTAGGGTCATTCAATCTGCGTATTCGCATCCTCATTTTTTCATGATTCAATTTTTATGCTTTTGATGTTCAGCTTGAGAATGTTCAACAACGAAGACGTCACAATTGGATCTTGGATGCTTGCTATGAATGTCCATCACGAAAATAACAGGGCGCTATGTGATCCTCGCTGCACGCCCACATCTATTGCAGTTTGGGACATACCAAAGTGTTCAGGTAAGTTACAACTGTAACAACTCCACTATGTTATATTTGGTTGCATGTCTAATGTTTGCTTGTGTCACTTGACGTACATATTATAAATGTACAAAGCAAAATGAATTGCTTGTGTGTGTTTTTTAATCTCAAGGACAATTACGGGATTGAGCTTAATTAACAGAATTCTTAGTTGAGGACCTCATTTGAAAAATTCTCATATCTCAGGTTACTCGTCAATTTCTTTACATCAAATTCACCTTCAGTTTGCTCATTAGCATAACATGTTCACTAAGTGTGTCTCCATGTATGGATTTTGTTACCTCAAGGGCATAGTTTGATTATGACAAAAATCACAGATTTTGCACGATGCAAGTTTTATGGAACACTTCCATTTCCTGCTTTCTATCATTGTCTCCATGTATGGATTTTGTTACCTCAAGGGCATAGTTTGATTATGACAAAAATCACAGATTTTGCACGATGCGATTTTTATGGAACACTTCCATTTCCTGCTTTTTATCATTGTCTTTACTTCTCTTGCAATTCCTGGTTGCTAGTTAATAGTTAAATATCAACAATTCTCAGGGAAACCCCCCCAGGTTTTCAGCAAAAGCAAACACAAAACACAAAGCGAAAAAGAACGTCTCTGGATCCCACCTTTTTAGTTTGTCTTAAACAAGTTGAATCTTGTGAGACTTCATTATTAGATCTTCTACTTGTCATAGGGGGGAGGTTGGGATATTAGCTTGCTTAATAAGATAAGAAAGAGTCTTACTTTCTTTAGATAGCAGCCTAAATTCTATTCTGGTCCTGCCCAGTCCAGCTATTGATCTGGAGGTGGAAAGTTCTATGTAGAGTTCCCCGACATACTAGAATGCCTATTATCTAGTGCTAGAAGCTTTGCCCTCAAAAATAGCAAAAATCACCCGTGAATTCCCATGACACAGGAATATTCGAAAAACATTTTAGAAATCTGTCTGATTCTCTCTCTCTTACTTCTGTTTGAATGGCTCAATAGCACGAGTATAGGATGCGCACTGCGCACTCTTCTTTGAAGAAAGAGGAGGAAAATAATAGATTAGTTGCTTACTTTCACTCGTAAGTGGTCTTGCCTATAATTTCTGTACTTGACGTCAAGTATGAGTTACTAGTACTGCATAAATACTTTTATCTGATTCAGGAATTGATGTAAAATATCAGGTTTATGCAATCCGGCTAAGAAGATGATGGAACTTCAAAAGATCGATATGTGTTCCAAGAGCCCTACACTGCCACCTGATGATAGGTAGATTTGGGTTGGCCTTAACTTTCTAGCGGCTTCGTGAGGCCAGTGATCAAGGATCGGCTTGTTATGGAAGCACGATAGATTGCCGAGCTTCATGTGGATGCTACATCATCTTCATATATTCATCTACCTTCTGTTGTATAGTATTTAGTATTCTATTTAGCTAACCTTTTTTCAGTTCTATGTGAATGATGCTCTTTATATATATTGGTCGTTTGGTATATTGGAAATTTAATGGTTCATGGTGTTCACATTTTTGTGTGGGATAAGAAAAATGAAAAGCTTATTATTGAAAAAGGTATTAGTAAGCACATTTATGTTTTAGGATCTACTTACTTTAAAGCAATCAATGTGACAAATTACCAAAATGACATTTTGGTGTTTAATGTTTTCTGAATACCAAAAAAGAAAAATGATAACATGATAATTTACCTTGGCCAACCAAAAAATAAGGGCGTGTTCGGTAGAGATTAAAATTGGATTAAAATTGAAAAACTAGCCGTTATTGTTGACTTTTATTAGACGGGCGAGACCCAATAACGGTCATATTTTCAATTTTAATTGGATTTTAAGTTGTACCGAACAGGGCCTTGCAAGGCATGGTATACTTGCTTATTTTGGTCTTGAAAGACAAATGCGTTCGAGTATTTTTTGATAATTGACATGTTTGACCTCTCGATGTAATGGATTCGTAAGTTTGGGAACCTCTTGAAGTTTTCATTATGGTTTGAGTAATGCTATTTATACATAATTGTAGGGTTGGACAAAAAATAATTCAAACCAATCAACACAATTCAAACGGATCGGTTTGGATTGGTTTTTAAGTTTAATTAGATTGGGTTGGAAAATCGATTTTGAGGTTGAGTTGGGTTGGATCCCAGGTTATGAATTAAAACGCAATCCAACCTTAAATCGATGAATTAAAAAATTAGTATTAAAAATGGAAAAAATTAAATAGACACAATAATGGAGATAAGATAAGGATTCAAAATGTACAAAGGTCCCCTTTTTTACATAGGTCGACTGGCATGAATAAATACAAAGTTATTTTTCGATAAACTAAAAAGTTAAGGGCATGACAATGAAATAAATGAAACCAAAAAAATTGTAAAAAAAGAAAATGCTCTGTAATTTCAAACTTATTGATACATTATTTTTCAGAAAGAATTTCTTAGGTGTATTCAACTGGTTTCAAACTTCAAAAAATTGTCCAAATTCAACAACAAAAAAATAATCGAATCCAATTCAAATTTGGTCCAAGTCCAAACCGACCAACCCAATCTCAACTACCCAATTTTGACCAGAATGAGTTGATTTTAGATTAAACCGACCATATTGGGTTATGTTTGAGTTCTATTAAAAATCGACCAAATCCAACTCACATACGGATTGATTACATGGAAGAGAGAGGGAAAAAAAAAGAAATAAAATGAAGTCTGTTAATCTTATCCGTATCATCAATCTAAAAATTATTATGTACACAATTATGTACAAATTGTAGAAATTTATGGGTCTAACTCATCTCACAAAACCGGTTCAGTAAGAGATGCTTGTCACATTGTTTATAAATTGGCCCAAGACATTGTCCACAAGCAATGTAGGATTTATTTCCAACACCCTCCCTCACGTGCAGGCCAATAATTTTTCTAGTCCTTGTCACGGGGTAAGTAGTGTGGGCCCACATCAATCATGTGGTAGGCTCTGATACCATGTAGAAATTTATGGGCCTAACTCATCTCA